ATATGGTTAATGGGTAAGAGGTTTTACATTCAGGTGAGGAAAAGGTTTTGGGACAAGAGAAGTGTGGTAGTTGTAGAGTATTGTGGATGTGCAAAATGTCACTGAGTGTTCACCCCCAATGTTTATTGTATGCTATGTGAATTCCACTTCAATGAATTCTGAAAAGACACAAACTTCTGCAAACTGCTAAATGAATTAAAGAATGAATAGGTGAGATACAATTGAATTAAGGCCAGATGGTTATAAGTTTCCTAGAAAAACAAGGCTTGGCCGGCGCTGCGGCTCACTAGGCTAATCCTCAGTCTGCAGCACCGGCACACTGGGTTCTAGCCCCGGTCGGGGCGCCGGATTCTGTCCCAGTTGCCCCTCTTCCAGGACAGCTCTCTGCTGTGGCCCTGGAATGCAGTGGAGGATGGTCCAAGTGCTTGGGCACTGCACCCACACATGGGAGACCAGGAGAAGCACCTGGCTCCTGCCTTTGGATCAGCGTGGTGCGCCGGCCACAGTGCGCCCGCTGCAGAGGCCATTGGAGGGTGAACCAACGGCAAAAGGAAGACCTTTCTCTCTGTCTCTCTCTCTCACTGTCCACTCTGCCTGTCAAAAACAAAAAAAACAAAACAAAACAAAAAAACAAGGCTGATCTTCTTTGCTGATGATCAAAGCTGTGGTTTTAAAAAAGCTGGCAAACTGAGTGAAGTGGAGGAATGAGGAGGCTGCTGTTGGTTGATTATCTAACACTTAAAGAACAGGACTGGTGTAGTGCATGTTGCAGTGTGCCACCCAGATGATCCCTCCAGGATGAGAGAACACTCATTCCCTAGCTACTGGGACACTGCCCAACAAAGGCTCGCTAATTGCAACCCTCTGCTGAAATTCACCTTGCCAGGCTGTGCCTACTTCTTTACTCAAATTTACACTCCTCCTCAGAGGCAGATTCAATCACTTGTCCGTGAAAGACTACAATAATACATTTTATTTGTTTTTATTGTTTACTTTGTTATCTGACACATAAAACGGGACATGTTTGTATGGGTGCTATGTGATGTTTCAATACATATAAACATTGTATAATTTTCAAATTCAACATTTATGATTTCTTTAGGGTAAAACATTCAAAATCTTCTGGTTTTTTTTCTGAAAACTACATAGTACATTACTTTTTTTAACAGTCATTCTACTGTGTGCTATAATACCAATCAGTACCTCATATTACTATCTAACTATAATTTAGTATCCATTAGTAAACCTTTCTTCATTCATTCCTCTTCCCTACTCTGCCAGCCTCTGGAAATCACCATTCCAATCTCAATTTCAGTGAGGTTAATGTTTTCAGATTCCACATATAAATATAATCATGCAACACTTGTTCTAACCACACTGTTATAAATGACAAGAAGTCCAAATGGCTAAGTAGCATTCACTTGCGTATAATGCACCACATACACTTAGATTATTTCCATTTCTTGGCTATTGTGAAAAGTGTTACAATAAACACAGAAATGCAGATGTCTCTGACAGAATTCTTTAATTCCTTTTGGACATATGAGAGTACTACAGAAAATTCATGGAAAATTAAATTTAAAGTGTGTTTATTTTGGTACAAAAATTTGAAATCCATGCATATGAAGGATTTTCAGATAGTTCATTAAAGATGGTATTATGAAAAAACTATGAATGGGTTTCACAAATTTGTACCATAATAAACTTTTCTTCTAGTTTCAATTTTCCTTTCTAAAATTTATTTTATTTATTTTAAAGGCAAAAAAAGAAAGAGGGAGAGGGAAGGATGCCTGCAACAGTCAGGGCTGGGCCAAGGCAAAGCCAGAAGCTTTGAAGTAAATCTGGGTCTCCCATGTGGGTGGCATGGACCCATGCACTTGAGTTGTCACCTGTTGCCTTCTGGAAGGCTGGATCAGAAGCAGAGTTGGGACTTTAAACAGGCACTTCCGCAAAGGATGTGGGCATCCAAGTGGTGACATAACTGCTGTGCCAAATATCTGCCACCTAACTCTATTTTTTCATGAACTGTTGGAAGTACAATGTTATACTCAGTAGTGGGACTGATGGATCATACAGTAGCTGTATTTTGTTTTTCTGAGGCAGCATCATAGTGTTTTCCACAATGGCTCTACTAATTTAAATTCCCAGCAGTGTGCAAATATCTCATTTCCTTCACATCCTCATCAGTCCCTGTTATTTTCTGATTTTTATTCATAACAGACCAAATAACTAGAGTGAGGTAGTATCTTATGGTGGTTTTGATTTGCATTTCCCTGGTGATTAGTGATTTTAAACATTTTTTTTCAAGTATCTTTTTGGCCATTTATACATCTTCCTTTGAAAAAATGTCTGTTTACTTCCATTGCCCACTTTTAATTGGATTATTTGTGTGTTTTTTTAATATTGGCTGGAGTTCTTCATATAGTCTTGTTATTAACCCTTTCAGTAATACATTTTATGTTGTGGCAGTGCTATGTGCTACAGAAAAAATTAACAGGAGGTGATGATCTTTGTCCTCAGGATCCAGAAAATATAATTACACAAAAATACATATAAGTATTATATGTATAAGTAATACATATACATATATGACAGGAACAAAAACAATGGGTACATAGCTATGTTTTGTGTTTGGCTCAGAGAAAATCTCTTAGACAACATCTTATCTAATCAGAGATGAGATGAATGATAAGCAATTGAAAAGGGTGACTTATGAGAGTTCCAGGCAAAATCATCACAAAAATCTATGAGGAATAACTTTGCAAACCATGCACAGGAGAACAACTACATCTCACTATTTGGTTTTAGGCAAATTGCTTACTGTGATTAGGCCTCTATTTCTTCATCTATAATCAGGGAAAACAGTAGTTCTTAACTCATAGCACTGTGAAAATTTAGATAGGTTATATAGAGTAAAAACACTTTATAATCCATTATTAATGTTGTGGTTATTATTATTGCCATAACATGAACAAATACAGCTCAGTGCTGAAGAAACAGTATCAAAGCAATCAAAGTATTTTAAAAAAGCCATACAACAAAGTCTACACAAAGTGCTGTAAAGAAATTCAATCACAAAGCAACAGATGACACTGATTCCTTCTTATAAGTAGAAAAACAGATGAACAATAACAAACACCTTCTTAAAATCATAAAGATTTCTAGTTTTATAGTATAAAGCAGCTTTAATGCCTACTATTTTCTTTCTTTTTTTTTTTTTAAAGACATTTATTTGAAAGGTAGAGCAACAGAGAGAGAGCAAGAGGCAGAGAGAGAAAAAGATCTTTCATCTGTTTGCCTCACTTTCCAAATGGCCTCAAAAGCCAAGGCTGTACCAGGCTGAAGCCAGGAGCCAGGAACTCCATCTTAGTCTCGCACATGGGTGGCAGGGGCCCATGTACTTGGGGTAGCTTCTGTTGCTTTCCTAAGTGCATTAGCAGGCAGCTGGATCAGAAGTGAAGTAGCCAAGACTCAAATTGGCACTCCAATATGGATGCCAACATTGCAAGCTCAACCTGCTGTCCTGCAATGCTGGTCTCCTAGTACTGCCTTTGTATCAAACATTGCTACCTGTCAGTCTGATGAGAACCAGTAACAGCCTAGGTAAGATAGCAGTGGCTCTCTATAAGCCTTTTATTTAAATACATGAAATCTGTAACCTTAAATAAAATTTTAAAAAATATTTTTATTTATTTGAAAGGTAAAGAAAGAGACAGACCTTTCATTCACTGGTTCATTCCCCAAATACTCATGACAACTGGAGTTTGGCCAGGCTGACTCAAGAGCTAGGAACTCAATCTAGGTTTCCCACATGGTTGGTAGGGATCCAGGTACTGGAATCACTCTCTGCTGTCTCCCAGGGTACGCATTAGCAGAAGTCGGAATGGGAAGCACAGCCAGGACCCAAACTCAGACACTCCTACACCAGGATGCCAGCAGCATCTTAACCACTGTGCCAAACAACTGTCCCTCCACAAATCTTAGCAGCTCACATTCAGAACTAGTTCCTGTAAAAATGTTCTCCATGGGGATAGGTGTTACAGCATAGCAGGTTAAACCAACACAAGGATGCCTGCATCCCATGTGGGAGTGCCCGATTCAAATCTGGCTACTCTCATGCTTCAGATCCAGCCTCCTGCTAGTAAGCCTGGGAGGCAGTGGTAGTGCTGAGGTCACTGGGCCCCTGCCACCCATGTGGGAGACTTGAATGAAGACTGGCTTCAGCCTCTTCCAGCCTTGGCTATTGCAGGGCATCTGGGGAGTGAACTAGTGTTTGGAAGATATCTCTTTTTTTATCACTCTGCCTTTCAAATAAATAAAGCTTTAAAGACAAAAAATGTTCTCTGTGAACATAGCTAGTTTCAGTTAAAGTGGAAGGCAAAAACCCAAAGCCAGATAAACTTGTTTGCTCCCCTACTCTAACACATACATTCACACTGTAATTGTTACTATGGCCTGGGAATGCAGCAGAAGATGGCCCAAGTCCTTGGGCCCCTGCACCCGCGTGAGAGATCTGGAGTAAGCTCCTGGCTCCTGGCTTCGGGTTGGTGCAGCTCTGGCAGTTGTGGCCAATTGGGGAGTGACCCAGCGGATAGAAGACCTCTCTCCCTCTCTCTCTCTGGCTCTCCTCTCTCTGTGTAACTCTTTCAAATAAATAAATATTAAAAATAAATAAATAAATAGATAGCCCTGAACACAATGGGTTTCTAGACAAAATATGAATGTAACCTTTAGCCTGAAGTGGATCTTTTCATCAAATAGCAAGCTTTAAAAAAATTAAATACTGACATAGTCCTAAATTTGTAATAATTACAGTATAACAGTGGTAGGACTAGAAGGATTCCAAGCAAAATCATCAGCTACAATTATAAAATATATTTTATGTTTGTAATGAAAAGCAGAAACAATATCAAGACACTTAAGTCAGACATGGTAAAGATTAAATCACCACTTGTTCTTACGGCACTGAAATATTAGAAAGTTTATCAGTCATTCCCCACCTGCTGGCCATATTCCACTCGAGGGCTGGATTCTGGGAGTTCCTTTCACTTTCTGGTAGTGCCCCTCCTGTTCCACTTTCCTTCTCTGGTTTCAGTTGATCCCACTGTGCAGTACCAATATTGATGCACTGCAGATCTATTTGATATTGTCTGTCTTCAATTTCTGACCCAGGATCTCGAAGAATTCCTAAATTCAAGGCTCTTCTGTAAAGGCAGTGAATAAATAAGGAGATTAAATAGACGAACTCAGTATTTTATTGTGTTCACGCATATAGTACCATTATTAATTCTTTGGATTACAGGTGAAACTGGCGAGTACACTGGGTTAATCACGTCTCCGAGACTAGTATTAGACTGTTACCACAAATTAGGAGTTGAAAATGTATCTCAAACTTACCACTTAGCAATAATCTACTCCATCATGATTTATCGCATTATTCCTCTTTCTCTAAGCGTCCAGTTCAGTTCTTGGTGTATTGTAATATTCTATTATCTCCATTTTTACCAAAGACAAAGCAATTCAGAGAAGTTTTTAAATAGCCAAAGTTACAAAGCTAATATATGATAAAACTAGTATTAAAATTTAGTATTTCTCGCATTTTTTGTTAGTTTGTTTTCCTCAAAACCTTTCCCAATGGTAATCATCCACCTTCTGCTGGGAAAGGTGATGGGGCTTTTTATATCTGTCTCGCTGCCCCTCTCCCTTCTATGGGCCTTTATATAACACCTGTCACTTAGACTGAATTGTTGAGAAGGCTGTGAGAATCACTGCTACAGAATCCCAGGAGGTTTACTGCCCATATAGAGTTGGCATATTTGACTTTGATCTTATTGAGCCCTATGCTCAGCAAATGAATAAATTATCTGCAGCATAAAGCTAAATTAAAAGAAGTAAATGTTTAAAATTTTTCATGAAAGTTTTAGAGTGAAATAGCAAGGCATATGGTACAGGTAGGAAAAATCATGTTCAGACGCCAGACAAGCTTTAGCTTTGTCTGAGTTTGGGATTTTTTTCTTACATTAAATTTTGCTAGTTTAAAAAAACTTCAAAATGAATGAGCAAAATGAAATAATATTTAGCTCTTAAGAAAGCTTTCATTAGCTGAAAAGTTGACATTTAACATAGAGGATAAAAACAGTTTTACTTTAGAGATAATGAAAAAAGCTTCAGTTGTAGACATTACCAAAAATACAATTAAATCCAGTATTTTAGGGGCCAATGTTGTGGTGCAATGGGTTAGGCTGCCACCTGTGATGCTAGCATTCCATATGGCTGCTGGTTCCAATGCAGTTGGGCCCCTACCACTGATATAGGAGACTCGAATGGAGTTCCAGGCTCCTGGCTTTGGCCTTGCCCAGCCTTGAACCAGGAAGATTCTCTCTCTGTAATTTTGCCTTTCAAATAAATCTTTTTTAAAAATATTTATCTGTTTATTTTAAAGAGCTACACAGAGAGAGAAGGAGAGAGGTCTTCCATCCGCTGGTTGACTCCCCAACTGGCTGCAACGGCCAGCTGTGCCGATCCGAAGCCAGGAGGCAGGAGGCTCCTCCGGGACTCCCACGCAGGTGCAGGGGCCTAAGGACTTTGGCCATCTTCTACTGCTTTCCCAGGCCATAGCAGAGAGCTGGATTGGAAGTGGAGCAGCCGGGACTAGAACTGGCACCCATGTGGGATGCTAGCACCGCAGGCAGTGGCCTTACTTGCTATGCCATAGCGCAGGCCCCAATAAATAAATCTTTACAAAAAACATTCAGGGCATCAATTGACCACTAATCCAACTAATCATGCAGTGGTGGTGGTAGGGGTATTAGGTGTTAGTGTGAATAGTACAAAAAAAGTTAAGAATCTGTTTAAGTCACTGCCTCAATGGGTAAGTAAAGAGTACTTACTTAAGCAGTACTTAAGTAAGCAGTAAGCAAGTCAGATCAAATACATCTAGGAACTAAGTAAAGGATGATGGACAGTGAATGACTACTTAGGCTCAAAGTGATAAATATATGAATGGAGAAGTCCTGAAGTTAATGAATTCAAGTGAAAAAAGGAGCAGAAAGGGACTGGAATTCAATGAACAGGCATCTCAGGCAGCAAGATGCCGGAGGGAGTGGCCAACAGGACACAGGAAAACAAATAGGCATGGGTCAATAGACATGGCAGGAGCCCGAGAAACTGAGAAGGATGAATGCTATGATTCCTAAAGTAAATGTGAAACATGGTTTTCTTTTTCCCTTTCTACCTTAGGAGAAAATGCAGTTTAGAAATGGACATGAATAAAAGCTGACCTCAAATTTTACATAAATCCAAGAAACACATTAGAAATAGGGCTCATATTGAGCCCTGAGCCCTTTCTTAATTTGTTCCAATAACAGTAAAGAGAAAAGGGATGAATGAGGCTGAGGATAGGAAGAAGTGGCATTTTGAGAGTTTCTCTGTGGTAGAATGTTCTAGTTTCATTTGAATATTGGTGGAATTCTGCTAAACCATAAAAGGCCCAGCTCAGATACAGCTTCTTCAATGAAACCTTTTCTGATGAACCCTTCTCTTAACTCTCTCCCTCCCAAACATGTGTTCTTAGGGTCTCTCTATACTGATAAGTACAACAGTAGCACAACAATTTGTCAACCTTCCCCAATATACTATAAATTTCTTGAAGTCAGGAACTACCTATTCTATCTAGCAATCAGTAAGTGCTGTTGAATTCAATGATAAAACCTGACACAAATCTTTCCATGTCTTAAGTGGTTAGCATATCTGTGCACATCACAGTCTTGAAACAGTAAAATTTTGCTTCCGGTCCATTATAAACTGTGACATTCGGCAAATATCATGGCTGGCTAACAGCTTAGCTTATTTCCCGAGACTATTACTCCCTATATAAAAGTTATATTTACTTATTTTAAAACAGCCAGAGCTCTTTACATTTTAAATACACTTCCTAAACATATTTTAAAGTGAACTAAAGTATTTCAAGAATCCCTTTGAAGGAAGGAAAAAGAAGTTTGGCAATGCAAACCAGAGAAATCTAGAATGTTTGGAAAGACAAACCAAATCAGCCCAGCACTAACATCAGTGTTTCTATTTCCCTTGGCACATAGAGAAACTGTACAATCACAAGATTACAAGCACAAAACATTGAATTTCATCAGCATTTTCCCACTTCACTTAGGCTTAAAATTCCCTGTATTTTTGTCTTGGCTTAATTTAAACTATATTCTTCCAATCACCCATCTGTTGAAAACATGATTTCCAACAGGTTCTTCTTCCCTATGCAAAAACAGTTTGTATACTAAGATAGCCAGATACTTCTAAACATGCTAATTTTCTCTCAACATGCTAATTTTCAAACTCCCTAAGGATCCAGTTTGGGGATTTTGCATTTTCTGTTTGCTTTTAAAATTAAATCATATATTTGATATTTCACCTGATTTGAGAATTCAAAGCAATCAATAATATTTGAGTTTATGCATTCAACTTAATAGTTAGTTACAAAACCAACCAAATCTGAGTTGTAGAGTACAGGACAAGTACTCAATTCATGTGAGCTTTGATCACCCACTTTGCCAACGATCATGAATGTGGAGAAACTATTTAACCTCTGCATGCATTAGTTATTTTAACATTAACTGATTATGGGGAGAAGCAAAATACGTGATTAAAAATTGAAGTATTTAAAGAGGCAAATTATAAGTTTTATGACCACTCTTGAAATATATTACTTTATTTTGAGTTAGTAAAATCGCCAAATGATTAGAGGAGATACACAGGCACCAAGATAAAAGAAGTTCACTTCTGTAATTACCAAGGAATTTACAATGACAACTATAAACACAGGAGTGCATATTTAACACTTCCAGTGTCTCCTGCTTCTAAATATGGCAGATTAAAAACTCTGAATGAGCCTCCTGAGACAACTGTAATTCTTGAAGAACAACTTAAGCATTATTTTAAAACAATTTTAGGGATGACACCAAGCAACAGAACCTGCAAAGACCCCCAAAGTAGGACCAGGAACCTGGATAAATAAACACTTGCCACAATCAGCTTTCACCCACAGGGTTTCTGCATACATACACTGATTTTCTGGCCCGGTAACTGCAGAAGAGATGAAACTTGGGGCTTGTGCAAGTGATGCATCTACTTCCTAGGAGCTCCTGCACATAAACTTGGGTCACCAGGAATGAGTGGGTGATTTACAAACAGCCCTTCTAGGGAGTCTTATGGTGATGAAATAGCTCTGCATCTTGACTGAGATGGTGGTTGCATAAATCTACACATGCAACAAAACTGTATATAGTAATACATACCTAAACATGAATAGGTACATTAAAAGTGGTGAAATCAGAATACAGTTGTATACTGTATTGAAGGAAATCTTCTGTTGTTGATCTTGTACTAATGTTATACAAAAAGTCATCGTTGAAGGAAATTGGGTAAAAGACCCAAAGAACTTACATATATGTATAGATAAGGTTGTTGGGAATCTGTAAGTATTTTGTTAAACTTAATAACTAACCATCTTAACATCAGCTGCAGGTGAAGATGCAAAAACCAAAAACCAAAAACAACCCTCCAAGATTCTGCAATGTCAAGCTAGCACTTGGGCATGTGAGTCTCAACGTGTGGTATGAAAACAATTTCAATCTGGGAAGGCTAGCTCCAGGTAAATTGTGCTGCCAGATGGCAAAGACAAAAGAGAAAGAAAAGTCTCTTGGTATGAGCTCAATTTCAATTCAAAGAATTTCCACAGATCAGATTCCAACCGAACATCACATACAAAATTTAAAATTCACACACGATAATAAGGTAACTTGAGTGAGACCAGCAGAAACTATATGCAGAAGAAACAGTGCCCAAAGACTTTTAAAAAGGGGATTAGTAGACATGAAACATAAAGTAAAAAAGCAAAAAAAGTCTTCAAAATATGAGCAGAGATTAAGTTTTTAATTAGAACCATGTAGAACTACAAATTAAAAGGGAATTACTTAAATTTAAAACTCAAGGGGCTGGTGCTGTGGTATAGTGGGTAAAGCCCCCGCCTGCAGTGCTAGCATCCCATATGTGCACTGGTTCAAATCCCCACCGCTCAACTTACAATCCAGCTCCCTGCTATGGCCTGGGAAAACAGTGGAAGATGTCCTAAGTCCTTGGGTCCCTGCATCCTTGTGGGAGACCTGGAGGAAGCTCCTGACTTTCGATTGGTTCAGCA